TTTTTTTTTTTTTTTCTATTTTAAGTAACACTATGATGAACACCCTTGTACATAACCTTTCTCTCTATTTCCCCTCAAAACATTTCTGCACAGAATTTAAAAATGTTTTGAAAAAGAACACAAGCTTTTGAAAGGTTTAGCTGGTATAATTGAACAGTGAACCTGTAAGTTTTAAGTAAATTAAACAAGGTAAGCAATAAAAATTCACAACTGCTTTTCAGTTGCCCCAGCCTTCCCAGCTCTTTAGAAACCATAACCTTTATGATAGAAAGGGGGGAATGTCAAGGGCCTCACCTTTCTCCTCAGGATTTGGTTCAAACGCCCATCACCTGCCCACCCTCTGTCCAGTGATGCACATCCCACCCTCACTCTCCACGTGTCTCATCTTCCCGCACAGTTGCCTGTGCCCCTGGCATGCTACACAGAGCCCCCTGAGGACAACCTGGCCCTCCTTCAGCTCTACTTCCGGGCCTTGGTCACCGGTGCACTCCGCGCATGCTGGTGCCCTGTGCTCTATGCTGTGGCTGTGGCCCATGTCAACAGCTTCATCTTTTCCCAGGACCCCAAGAACTCAGTGAGTCACATCCCCATCAGCAGAGGGAGGAAGGGGCCTGTGACTGAGCTGCCTCTGAGCCAGCTGGGGAGGAGATGGGAGCCATGCAAGGCCCAGGGCAGGTACAGCCCTTGGCCCAGTGCCCCCTTCCTGTTCTGCCTCTAGGACGAGATGAAAGCTGCCTGCAGAAGCATGCTGCAGAAAACATGGCTGCTGACAGATGAGGTAGGATCAGGACGTCCTGAAGGGTGGGAGGATAGAAGGTTTTGGGGGAAAAGAGACCTCAACCAGATCTCACTACCTGCTCAATCAAATTTCTTCCCTCCTTGCAGGGTCTCCGACAGCACCTCCTCCACTATAAGCTCCCGAATTCCAACGTCCCAGAAGGCTTCGAGCTGTATCCCCAGTTGCCCCCTCTGCGTCAGCAAAACCTCCAGAGACTGACCCCAGGGGTATTCCAAAATGGGGTATCAGAGACCTAGCAAAACTGCTGCAAATGAAGAGATGGCTATATTCTCCTGGGGTGCACCCACAGATGCTTCACCAAACAGAAGAGCTTTTGTCCTAAGGGTGAACAGGAGACAAGAGCAGAAGACTTGCCTTCTTGGGAGCAAGCAGGGTGAACCATTACATCCTGGTATCTGAAACAGCATCTGGGCATCTTAGGGTTGGTAGTGGGAATGAATGAAGGGTGACTTAACCATTTACCCCCTCTTGGGGAAGAGACAACTAAGTTCACCTCTCCATCTTCTCCTCTCCTGCCTCAGACCAGAGTATATAAATACTGTAACTGTATATCTGTATATTGAAATATAATTTTTTTTAATCTCCTGGGAATCTGATTTGGGCTAATTTCAGACATGTTCAGGATTGATATCAAGAGACGGGTTAGCCTAGAGAAGAAGCAGAGATGGGGGAGACTGAGTCCATGCTTGGCAACCACAAAAATGTGGGTCCCAGCTCTGGAGTGGAGCCACACGAGGACAATACTCATGGGAGTGGGGACACTTCAAGAATAATTCACTCCAGTGGTCCACGTGGTATGTAGGGGCCTTCAGTGAGGTCTCCTTATGGCCCCTATTCCTATCACCTGCTATCCTGAGACATGAGGAAACCCCAAATCAGACAGGTGCAGTCACTGCCTCTCTCAACATCTTTGAGCTGCCGTGGCACAATGCCATATACTGACGAACAGCAGAAATTTATTTCTGAAAGTTCTGGAGCCCAAGAATTCCAAGATCAAGGTGCAAGCAGATTTGGTGTCTAGGGAGGGCCTGCTTCCTGGTTCATACACAGCCTCACGGGGTAGATGGTAGCAAGATGTTCTCTGCCTCCTCTTTTCATCAGGGCGTTCAGCCGTTCGCCTGAGGTGGAGCCCCTGGGACCTAATCACTGCCTCCAAATACCCTCACATTGGGGATTAGCATCAAAATGTGAATCTGGGGGCTGGGAAGGAGTGGTTCATCTGTTCATCTCTCTGGTGGAGTTTGTAAATTTGGTCGGAGTTCTAACATTTAAGCTTTTGTACAATGTCATTTGCTGTATGGAATTACTTGCCAGAGAGGCCTCCCTGTGGTGCAAGGGTTAAGACTCAGCACTGTGACGCTGTCACCAGCCACTGCAACATTAATTTAATCCCCGGCCAGGGAAGTGACCCACATGGTGCAACAGATCTCCCCTGACTTGCCCACTGCTCCCCTTAGCAGTATATTTCAATAGATCTGCCTATTCTGCTCCCCACTCTGTCTCTGGCGAATCCTCTCACACACACACAAACCCCACACACCTCTCTGGCCTATACCCCAGCTCTTACATGCATAAATAAATCTTAAAAAAGAAAGAATTACTTACCATAACTGTGTTTATGGGTCACCAGGGTGAGTGCGTTGTACCTGTCTATAGGTAGAGAACCACTCCTCATAAATGGAGCTTCTGAAAATAGAATTACACAATAGGTTTTATTAAACAATTACTATGTCTGCGAACAATGGTTCTCAAACATCTTTGTGACAAAAATCACCTGGAGATTGGGAGGATCCTACCACCAGTGTTTCCGATTCAGTAGTTTAAGGTGAAACCCAAGAATTTGTATTTCTAGCAAGTTCACAGGCTTATGCTGCTGTTCAGAGCCAAGCACACTTTGAGAATCATGGCTTATATAGTGTCTTGTAAATAAATTCTTTGACAGCCTAATGGGATATCCACAGAGTCAAATAGGGGGTGACTACCTAGGTGTCTACACCTAGCCCCTACGTTCAAACTTTACCATGTAGCTAGTTAGTATTCTTTCTTCCTGTTTTATATTAAACACAGGCCTCAGTCTTCAAAATTAGTAATTAGAGAAAAAAAAATGAGGACCCAAGACTGGCTGAAGCTGAGTAGCCCTCACAGCTACAGGGTGCCAGTTTCCCCTCATGTGGTGTATAGCTGGTGGGACAAACCAGAGAAGTTGGGGCTATGTACCCCTCAGCCATGACTGGGAGTGCTAGAGCCAGCACTGGGGTCTTCTGACTCCAGGTCCATCGGAATAAGAAGCTGTACAGTTAATGGCTTTGTGTGGGAAGACTGAGATTTCTAAGTCACAATCTAAAATCAATCGCAAAGGCACTGAAAGGCTCAAGTAATGGCAAGTAATTATGCCTCACTTGGGGCAGTTTAAGAGAACTTACCATTTGTTATGCCCACCCAAGCCCACACACACATCACAGCCACCACCAGGATGAAGCACATACCCCACAGTTCTGACTGACAAGCCTAGAACCCCTAGCTGGATTCTGGGGTATGACTCCACTTTCTCAAGCTCTTTCCATGAAAGGGTAAAGGCAGGCGGAGGCCCCTTGGATGAGCCTTCCAGTGTGGTCCTCTTTGGGAAAATGTGGCAATGGGGATACCCACAGACTGTTCTTCCTTGCACATCTCAGGGTGTGAGGTGAGAGTGGCCTGGCTGGCTTTAGTTCCTCCACCCCAGCCCCAGCAGCTGCTGTACAAGCCTGTAAGTGGCAGTCTGGGCCAAGTGGCAAGGTCGGTGCCTACAGCCCTTTCCGGGCAGTCCCTGAAAGGATGGGTGGCTCCCATGGCTGCTGTTGTGGCTGGGAGGTGCAGTTAAGTGCCTTCTGGCTATAAGGGTGGTGTCAAAAACAGAGGAGCCCTCATTGGGCTGGGGACACAGGTGACATTCTGGGTCTCATTGAGTCCTCCTGATAACTGTAAGCCCGTTGACCAGAACTCCCTGGTCCCTGGTTCCACAATGTAGGCTGAGCAGAGCAGAGGGTGTTTGCATGGAAGACCACATAAAGCAGTTTGGAAACAAAAAACGCTGAGGTCTCAGCACTGCCTGAGGTGGGACCAAGGTAAGCTCAGGAAACAATGGAGGATCTGCAAGATCCAGCTGAGCGGCCCCTAAATAATTCTCCAAGGGGAGAAAAGTATAAGCTAACGCCCCACAGACTTAGGCAACCAGAGCTGAGGTTTAGCGGATTTCAGGTTCCAGGGTACAGTGACCAGGGGATTGGGTAGGGGAGTGGGGTGCAAGGTGTGGCAGAGAGAAGTTAGTCTTTCTAGCTGCTTCCTGTCTCCCTTTAACTTCCTGTGGCCTCTCCCAAACCCGCTGTCTCCCGGTCATCTTTCAGACGCCATTCTCTGTCCAGTCGGGATCCCAGGCGCCGCGGACTCCAAGCCCAGGGGATCCGAACGTCACCGCACCGCTTACCCCGTTGGAGCAAGCCTCTCGCCCAGTTCCCTGCCGCGAGCCCTGAGCTCCTTCCTCCCTCCTCGACTGCCGGCCGCACCCGGCTGGGGCAGAAGCTCAGCGCCGCTTTCTTCCGGCCGGTCGGTTCTTTCAGCAAAACCCGGGAAGCCCCTAACCTGCGGCGGCGCCAAAGGGTGGCGTGACAACACCCCCCACCACCGCCCCATCTCCACTGAACCCCGTAAAATAAATGCAAGATCTAAATTTATGGTGCGCAAATCTAGTCACACCTTTGAAGTATCCCTTCAACATCGATTTAAGGTTCGCACCTTGAGAACTTCTCGAGCTGCCTGGTCGCCAGCCTCTGCCCAGGCGGGCGGCTGGAGCACTGACGCTCGACGACCCGGGACTCAGCACCCACTTAACGCCGACCAGCGGCGGGAGGCACCCCGCCAAGAACCACCTGTCTCGAGCCCCTGGAGTCTTCACCTCTGCGGTCTTCTCGCTTCCCTGGGGGAGACGCTTGACATCCCCGTGGGGCGGCGGAGCGGGTGGGAAGAGCGGCTCGGGCGCCCTAGGGCGAGGGTGCGTGCAGGGAGGGGCTCTGTGTTCAGGGACGGCGCCCGGGGCGCCGGGGGAGGCTGGGACCGGGCTCTTCTGTCTCGGGGCGTCTCCAGCCGCTGGGGAGCGCGATGCCACGGCTGGGGCTGGCGCTGGGCCGGAGGCGGCGGTGGGGCGGCCCCTGCCATCCACGTCTTTCTGGTAAGTGCTTGGCTCTGCGCGGCCTCTTCTGCCCCTAACGCTCGGTGTTGGGGTCCCAAAACCCCTCCTGTGGGCGCGTACACACGTGTTCTACTGGTGGCCTTGGAGTCCCCAAATCCCTGGGCCCCCTGGGAGCTCTTGGCCTTAGCTCAGGCCCCGAGGCCGGAGCGCTCCTTCGGTGCCGGTGCCCACTGGCAGGCTGCGCGCCGGCCAGCCCGAGCCACTGCTGGTGGCGGCCGGGGGAGGCTGTGTGCCTACCTGAGGCGACAGGATCGAGACCCGACTTGGGCCGCCCCTGAGAAGCTGGAGGACCGCTCCGAGGCGCTGGGGAGAGGCGGGGCGCTCACCGGGAGGCCGGCGTGCTCCCCATTCCCGCCGCCAGCCAGCCTACTACCGCTCCACAGGTGGAGGGGACGCCCGGCTGTTCGCTGCGACAGGGGCCAGAGGACGGCCAGGGCTGCGCGGACGGTTGGGCGACGCTCGGCTGGGCCGCAGCCAGTGGCTTCTGGGGCAGCGGTGGGGTCTGCCCCGCGGCTGGAAGGGGCTCGGCTACTGGGGTGGGTGCGCCCCTGGGGTGGGCGGCTCCTGACTGAAACCTTGTTCAAACCTTGGAAACAGGTGGAGTCCCTGGGGAGGAGTGGTGGGTGGGAAGGGCGTTGAATTCCGCTCAGCTGCTGCAGGCAGGTTAATTGCTCTTAGAAAGGAGGCCAAATAAACTCATAGCACACAAGTAGACTGGACTCCCTAGATTTTCATTTAAACCCAGGGCCTGTTCCACCACTGCAGGGCTCCTCTTTGTTCCCCAATAGTGCCAGAATTCTTGTGAGATCAACAGGAGGCTGAAATTTTAAGTCTTTAGTTCTCAAAATGTGACCCTGAAGCGGTAACATCAGCACCACCTAAAAATTGTTAGAAATGAACATTCTCAGCCCCTCTCCAGCCTACTAAGTCTGAAAATCTAGGGGAGTGTCCCAGCCATCTGTGTTTGAAATCCTCTAGGTGATCCTAATACTCTGGAAAATTTGGAAACCAGTGAGGTAAAGAAACAAAGGCTTTCATTGTGTCTGTCTGGGCAGTGCTGTTGATACTTATACACAGGAAATGGAATATGTGCCTTGGCCTCTCCCATTTTATAGCTGAGGACGTGGGACCAGAAGGTTCTCGCAGGTAAGGATGTGTCCCAGCCAGCCTGAGCCAAGCCTTTGGGTTCTGCTTTTTACTCCTTCCCCACCTTTTTCCCCCTTTGCCCCCAGTGGTCAGTTGGCAGTGCCTGTTCTAGAATAGTTGTATAAGGAAAGGCACACAGGGATTTGTGCTGGGAAACCCCAGCTTTCCTACTATTCATAAGGCAGCTTCCCAGTTATGTGCCCACTCCATCCCCCATTTTGTAGCCAAATTCTGTCACCTTAAATTTCCAGGGGGTGATGCCTAGATTTCCTGCTGGGCTGATGGAGAAGATGGGGTGTCTTTAATGCATCCCAGCAGTGAGCTTTACCTGCAGCCTCTGACAGGTATTGGCCCCTCCCTGATTATCTGATCCTGTGCAACACCAATCCTGGGGTGCTTAGCAAGTATCTCCTTGTTATGAATTCACTTCAAATACTCGTGACCTCAAGAGCCCAAAAAGAGGGCATATGAGGCTTGGCAGAAGTTCACTCCAAACTCTCCTACCCACCCTAAAATTCCTGGCACAGCTCCTTGTTTCAAAGTCCAAGTCTAGAATTAACCATGTGGCCTGAAAAAGAATATATGCCACCCCCTTCACCCCACACTATCAATTCTTTTACTCATAGTCATGGAAAATCATGGGGAGGTGGAGATCTGGCCACACCTCAGTTGTAGTCATGCTGCTTTTTGAAAGAGTGCCAATGGCAGGCTGAACTCCAGTTGACTGAATGTGCCCAGAGGGCACGGGACTAGCTGCTGGTAACATTACCTGCAGGAGTATGTCCTGTCTCTCTCCAGTGTCTGGAGGCATGGGGCCGCTGGACTGGGAGGAGCAGAAGGGCACTGGGAAAGATGTCTGCTGTGAGCCAGGCACTGTGCTAGGAGCTGGGCAGGGAACTGAAGGTGCATCAGCATGTGGCCTGCCATCAAGGACTTGTACCTAAGTGGTTTAGTGTAGGAGAGGAGAGGCATAGCTATAGATCCCAAAGTGGTAATTGCCTTGGAGATTCTTGCGGGGGGGGGGGGGGGGGGGGGAGAGGTTGCATTTGTCAAAGGAACAGATTATGGAAGAATTAACATGAGCTGAATCTTGAAGCATGGGTAAAAGATGGGATAGGGGCCCTCCCTGGTGGTGCAGTGGGTTAAAACGCAGCTCTAGGAAGCTATCTGAAGCCACAGCCATTCGGCACAAGTTTCATCCCAGGCCAGGGAGGTGACCCACATGGTGTGGCAGACCTCTCCTGACCGGCCTACTGCTCCCCTCAGCAGTGTGTTTCAGTCAATCTGCCTGTTCTGCTCCCCACTCTGTCTCTGGTGAATCCTCTCACTGCCCCTGCACCTCTGGCCTGTACTTCAGTACCTGTATGCATAAATAAATATATCTTTAAAAACAAAAAAACCGGGACCTCCCTGGTGGCGCAGCGGGTTAAAGCACAGCACTGAGAATCTGAAGCCACTTCCGCATGAGTTCGATTCCCGCCTGACCCGGAGGTGACCTCATGGTGAGGCAGACCTCTCCTGGCCCGCCCGCTGCTCCCCTCAGCAGTGTACTTCGTAGATCTGCCTGTTCTGCTCCCCACTCTGCCTCTGGTGAAGCCTCTCACCGCCCCTGAGCCTCTGGCCTGTACCCCAGTTCTGTATGTACAAATAAATAAATCTTTAAAAAAAAAAACAAAAAAAAAAAAAACAAAAAAAAAAACCTGGGGTTGAGTGATGGAGGAGCTTTGTACTGGAAGTGTCTCTCTTTTTCTCCTAGCCTTGCACCCCAGGCCCTCTGGTTCTGATGGTGGTGGTGAAGGTAACTGTTACCCTGAGCCTCCTTATAGTTTGTGGGGTCTTCATTCTGGGTATGGAACATCCAGCAGATATAGCTGAGTCAAGGTTGCCCACCTCTCCACTGAGCTGAAATGGCCTTTGTGGGGTCCCGGGACAGACCTGGCTGATTTTAAGAACTATCCTTCCAGCAGGGCAGTGGTAGATCCTCTGGGGTTCTCAAAGTGCGAGTAGCTGGGGAGGCCTGGGAAAATATTTACCTTAATGGGCATCTGGAGTGATATCCTGGGCACAGGAAGGAAAGTCAGCGTGCACTCAGTGGTGGGCAGAACATGCCATCGTCCCTCCCATCCTCAGCAAACCACAGGAATCATAAGTCAGGGCCTGTGTGGGATGATGCTGCCAGGCCCTAAGTTCGAGTTGAGCAAGCTTCAAACCTCCACGCTTCTGAGAGCCCCCAAGCCCTACAACTGCCAGATGGGGCTCAGCCCTGCCTGTCCTTGCCTCTGCCTCCAGGGCTCCAGGGCTCACTGAAGTTTCCCCGGCCAATGTCACTCTGCTCAGGTGAGTCCGCCCCTTCCTTCTGAGAACCTGTGCACTCTGGATCCCTGCCCTATCCCAGCCCCTGCTGTGGTCATTATGAGTCCCAAAGAACTTCTGGCCCAAACCAGAGGAGATGAAGGCTAGAAAGGCTCCAGAAGGGATAACAGGGACCCTAGGATATGATTCCTTTGGAGCGAAGATGATCTCCACCCCCAGGTGTCTGCCAGGACCAGAGGGAAGACCTAGACACAGCCGCTCCCACCACCATCCTCACCTGCTCTGTCTCTGCTCTGGCTCGGTGCCAGTGGACTTCATCCCCACAGGGCTGCTATCTGGGGACAGACTGTGACACAGCGCTCAAGGCCCTCAGACAGGGCCAACTAGGCATGTGGGGTGGAGGCAACAGGGAGCTGAAGGAGGCACTAGGTCCTCTAAGACCCTCCCCAGGCCCAGCCACCCTGCAGAACCCTGGGCCACGGTGCCTTTGGAGAGCCATATGAAGGGCTGGTCTTTGGCCTGGCTGGGGATCCCAGCCCTCTGCAGGTGGCTACCAAGGTGAGAAGAGGTGCAGTTCTGGTTGGAGGGGGAAACAGGGCTCCATGGAGAGAAACACAATTGCTGGAGGTAGGGCCAACCCCCCAAACACACTTCTCCTCCCCAAGACCCTGCCAGAACTCTGCTCTCACCAGGATGAACTAGATTTCCTCATGGAGATGCTGATCATCAGGTGTGCCCAGGGCCAGGGTGGCAGGTGGGAGGGCAGCACCCAGAACTGTCTGCAGAAACAAACAGCATCTTCACTTGGGCTGAGGAGTGGCAAGGCCAGAGACAGAGAGATCCTCTCCAGTTTTGTGGACTTCTAGAGCATGGCTTCTTTCCTGGCTGGGGATGGGCTGGCTGTGTGCACCACCTGCAAGTTCAGCCATCAGAACATCCTGCGCTGCTTGGGGCTCAGCCTCTGGGCTGCCCCTCATTTAATTCTGCTGGAATTGATGTCTGGAGGAGACATGTAGTTTCCTGAGGCACAGCCACCCACACCTGGTGAGACTTTTTTCAGCTCCCAATCCCCTCTAAAGAGAGACTTTAAAGACCTGTCACTTTGTCACCAAACCTACATGGATTGATGAGCCCTCTGCTCTACCCAGGTCCAACTGTCACCTCTGTCCATGCAGGATCTGCTCAAGTTGGCCCAATACATAGCCCGGGACTGCCACTGTCTGGAGGAAAATCACTTCATACACTGGTTGGAAGTGATCCTGGATTGGGGGGCGGGGCCCAGGCCAACTCCTTCCCCCAGGAACTGTCCTTCCACATAAATTTTAAGGAGAAAAATCAGGAGTGGCAGTGATTTTTTACACCCAACACCCAACTCGGAACTGCCTGGTGCTGTACTGGACCCAGTAGAGTGGCCAAGAGTAGGGATTTCAGGATGGCAAGAGACATCTATAGATGTGGGGCCTGGACAGGTGGGGAAGGAACTTATCTGCACCCTCACGGTATTTGAACACCTCATCACTTCCCTTCTCTCTCCTGTAGGTGCCACCAGGGGCCTTCCTGGAGGGCGTCTTCACATCCAAGACAGATTGCTGGTGATAATATACTTTGCTCGCTGCCAAGTCACATGGGGTCAGAGAGGCAGTGCCTGATGGGATTCACATGGGTCCTCTTACTTGTGATGCAGGCCTCTGGGGCACTGCTCTGGGAGGTCTTCTCACTGGGTACATGCCTACCCTGGGCACACCAATCAGGAGCTACTAGACTTGGTTGTCATTGGGGGGCAGATGGACCCTCCCAGGCGCTATCCAGGGCCTGTGTGAGCATGGAGTATTGCCCAGAGAGGGAGGTACTTCACAGCCATGGGTAGGAACTCCTGCCTCTCTCCAGGTAACAAAGCATGACCTAGTGTTGTTAACACTAGCGTGAACTCCATCCCAGTATAAAGATGTCTTGGGGCATCTTTATACTGCATTCAGCCATCCTCACCACCACCACCACCACCTACCCTAATCATCCTGATCTTGAAGGTCAGAAGGGAAGCCATAAAACACCGTGGCCCCCTGCTCGCCTAGACTCCCAATTCAGGATCCAGGTGTGCCGATTTCACCCTTGCCAGTGGAGAAAGGGCCCGCCCTGAGGAGCAAGGGATTTCAGGTCAGGGGAGCAGGTCTTTGGAAGGCCTAAGATTGCCACAGCCAGGAGCTGGGTCTGGAGAGCTTGAAGAGCTGGAATGGAACCTCCTTGGCCCCTGACTGCCCTCTGGCTATGACCCTTCCAAACCGAGGGACCTTTGAGGCAGAATCTTTGGAATCCCACCTATGGTTCCTGTGGTGTAAGGGATCCTGAGGCTTTGATGGTAGCAATGGCTCCTCCCTCCACTCTCCCAGAGCTTCTAGACTGCTTGTTGTTCTAGTAGCCTCTGCCCCCTGCAGTCTGTGTGGCATGTCTGGGCCTGTCTCAGGGCTGGCCTAGAATCACTGGACTCTCTGCCCTGGAAACCAGTGCCAGGCCTCCTGGGGAAGGGCCTGGCCACTCCCAGCCATTTATCTTTGAATCAAGAGGTGACCTACCAGGGGTGGGAGGAGAATCAAACTCCCTCCTGCAGGAAGCCTTTGCCGGCTGCTTTCAGTCCTGAGCATCCTTCATCTGGGCAGTGACCAACCACCGCAGACAAATCTAATAAAGAGCTCTTCTTCTAACCTCCATTCATCTAAGTGGATGTAAGGGGTGCCACAGACTGAGAAAGGGGATCAGAGAAGGGAGAGGATAAGGCTGGAGTCTTCAAAGCTGGTGTCTTTGCCTTTTATTAGGAAGGGGAGTCCATTGTAGTGTAAGTTTAGACCAATAGATCTAGTGCTTGCGAAATAAAATTCATTATCCATCCTCTCTGGAGAGGTAAGCAGCCCCCTCAGGAGAGCCGAGCTGAGACGAAGCCTATTGTCCCACCCTACCCCTGTATATTAGTGTCATAGGCTCTGGATACGCTGGGGCTTGTATGGGCGCCCGCTCCGCTGCACATGCAGCAGCGCGCCCCCTAGTGCTTGGCACCTAGTCCTGCTGGACCGTGTGAGCCGCCCCGCACCGCGGGGTTTCAGTTCTTCGCCCACATGCACGACAGGGACGCAGTCGCAGTCCATCTGTCACACCCTCCCGTCTGCGGGGACAGGAGCCCAGCCTCATCTCTGAGCCAGACTGGCCAGGATGCCAATGAGATTGTCCAGCCCCAGCAAATAGCCGTCCTCGCGATTGCCCTCCTCCCAGGGCCTCCGGTGGTCCAGGGTCTGGCCGTCCGGGAGGGGTGTAGTCTTGCCAAAGTCGATGAGCCACACTCCAGCGCGATGACAGTGATCGTGCACGAAGAGGAGCGAGCTGCCGATCACCTGCCGAGCCCCACACAGTGAGCGTCAGATCACGGCTTTTTCCCTGGTGAACCCCTACCCCCTTACGGCTCAGGTAACACCTCACACCTGACTCTACTCTTACCTCATGCTTCCTAAAGAACTCAGAGACCTCCAGGGTGTCGCGGATCTGCTGCAGGCGGTTCAGATACCTCCTCTGGAGAGGGTGGGGTGGAAGAGGAGCAGCCATCAATTCAACGCTAAGCGAGCCCTTGCTGGGATTGGGGGTTTAGCAGACACCTTAGAAACATACAGGCTCCCTCGTGGGCGCTGCCCAGAAGGAGGGGAAATGACAGCACATGAGGTAAATACTGCAATGGGTGCCACACAGGCGAGGTCACTCCTGGATGACCTGGGGACACGGCTCAGGGCTCTCAACACCTCGGGGGCCCAGATTCAGGCGCTCACCAACACTTCCGCGTCCCCTTCCACAAACTCCTGGAAGACGTGAATCACCTGCTCCCTGCTTCGCGTGGTCTTAAAGTCGGTGCTGCAGGAGCCATCGGCTTTCTGAAGGAGATGGGACAGGAAATGTTAGGGGCTCTGCACCCGCCCGAGGGGAGAGGCGCAGGCTAGGCGGGCGGTACCTCCCAGGATGTCTGCTGCCAGGGGCAGCGAGACGGCGCCAGAAGGTGGCTCCCCGGGAGGGTGGGGGTTCCACAAGAAGGGCAGACGCCGCGCGCTGGGGCCGGGGCAGAAGAAGGGCAGAGGGCGGTGCAAAGCGAAGCGGGCCTGGCCCACCTTGATGCCCTCGATGCGGAAACCAAGGGTGGTGCTGGAACTGATGCCTTCGCGCCACTGCATGTAGCGCGGCTTGGTGACGGCGCGCTGCGCGTGCTCCTCCTCAGTGGGCGCCTCAGGGTCCACCGCCAGCATTTTCTTGTACATGTCCTTCCGCAGTTTGGGTCGCTCTCGGGCTTTGGTGAGCTCCTCTTCCAGGTAAGTCCTACAGAAGCGCAGGCAGCCCCCCGGGGCTTGAGGGGGTGGCCTTGGGCACAGCGTCCAGCACTCCTCCCCGCCCGGGGCCTAGCGGGTCCCGGCCAGAGAAGGCCGGGCACGCGTACCTGACGCCCATCTTGCAGTCCAGGACGCAGGGCCCATCGAAGCCGTGCAGCAGGTCCTGCAGCTGCAGGTAGCTCTCCCCATCGCGCTCCACCACGCCGTGGAAGGCGGGCACGCAGCCGCGCAGGGCGTCTGCCATGAGCCGCGCTAGGCAATAGCGCTCAGGCTCTGAGCTTCGTTTCAGGATCAGGCCGCTGGTGCCCGCAGCCTTGAAACTCCCTGCAGACAGGGTAGCGTTGCTTAGTCCCTTCCTCCCCGGAAACTCCGCCACCCCGCTTGCCGGCTGCTCACCCGTGTGCCCCGCCAGCTGCACCCAGGAGTAACGCTTCTTGAAAGGGCTCATCACCGGCAGATTCACCATGGTCCGGATCTTCTGCCAGTGGCTTTTCTGAAAGCAACACGGTATAGGTCTGCAAGTCGGCGCTGGAGCATTGAATGCATCAGCGCTCCCTCCTCTGAAACAAGGGCTTGCCCTGCCACCCTGCAAGCAGCTAGAGCTGCTGATTCATTCGATCTTTTATTCAGTCAAGGAGAGTTTCTTTGTGGCCTGCCTCTGTGATGGGCACTAAGACAGGCATCGGGAGGAGACAGGTGTACAGCATTTTACTGTACTGAAAATAATCCTGGACCTGAGTTTGTGGAAAGGCTCAGGTTTTCCCTCAAGCTCTGCGGGTTGCAAGTTAGAGAACTGTTCTGTGGAGGCTTTAGAACTTTTATGCACATGAGAAACATTTGATGGTCACCTTTGTTAAAAAAAAAAAAGAATAAATGAAAATATATGTCTAATACTTTTGAAAATTAAAAAAAAAGCAGATTCTCTGCATTTTTTTCTTGAAAGGGAAAATTCTCTCTCAGGGAAATTCTGGGCAGGTTTGGGACAGGACCAAGAATTTGCTTTACCTCAAGAGATTCTGGGGCCTGAGAAACAAGTCTCTGAGCATCAGTTTCTCTATCTGTAAAATGGGGGAGATAATTACTCTTATTGGGTTATGAGCAAAAAACTGGTTTGGAGTGTGACTGCTCCTCTCCCCCGCACACCCCCAGATCATTGGTATGAAGCTGGACTAATGTAGATTGATTTAACTTGGGGACACTGGTTCTGCTCATTTAGGAAAAAAAAAAAAAAGAGTCAAGGCAGAGAGGCCAGCATTGCAGGGCCTGAAGAAAGAGTTGCAAGAGGCAAAGACCCTTTGGCTACTGCTGGATTCCATATGACTCCTCATCAGTGTACAATGTCCAGGGCACCCTTGGTCCTAATATTGACCCAGAAACCTGAGCTTAGAAAGTGGGATGCAGCTAAGGGCCCCTCATCTAAGATGAGCCTGTGAGGGAAATGGGGGGGAGGGTGAACTCATTCCCTTCTGAACATTGCTTCTCTCCTCCACCCAATCCTGAGAGCATCCCATATCTAGACCTTTCCTCTCCCCACCTAAAACTTATCAGTCCCATGTCTAGCCTATGAAGTACGCAGGTTTGCTCATCCGACTTGTGTCTGCTGAGCCCTCCCTGGTGGTGCAGTGGACTAAAGGGCAGCACCAGGAAGCTGTCCACAGCGACTGCAGCACACGGTTGTGATCCACAGGGAACTGACCCACATGGCACGGCAGACCTCTCCTGGCCCACTCGCTGCTCCCCCCAGCAGTGTATGTCAGTCAATCTGATCTGCCTATTCTGCTCCTCACTCTGTCTCTGGTGAATCCTCTCACCCCACTGCACCTCTGGCCTTTACACCAGTTCTTGTATGCATAAATAAGTAAGACCTTAAAAAAACAAAAACAAAACAATAAATGGTGTCTTCTGCCTGCTCCCTGGGGTGCCTGTCTTTTAGAGGAGTTACATATGTGTGCCTGCCCATGTATCCAGTCTCCTTGGCCAGAGGGGGTCCTGAGCAGGAAAAGGATAACTGGGTGGTGGCTTAAGCAGGGTGAAGCAGCTGACCATAAAGCCCTTTGTCCATGGGAAGTGGGGTTAGTGACTAAGATGGGAGTTAGAAATTGGTTCTATTCCTACTTCTGTCACTTTCCAGCTGAGGGGAGCTGAGTATGGTCATCTCCAAATTTCCTCCAAGAGGACAGGGCTGTTGCCTTACTAGGAGCCACCGTTTCCTGACTGCTGACTGCCTGCTTTTCTATCTTCATTCAGAGAGCATTGCTCCTGCTTTCCTTTTGAAGTCCCTATATGGCACACTAGGGTGTGGCCACGTGTCTAATCCCCAGGGATCTGGGGGTGTAGCCAGAAGCAGCCCACTAGATGCATGACATCTCTTCCAAAACTCCCATTTTTGGTCTTTAAATACAGACAAGCATAATATCTGCAACATAATAAATCCAAGTTTTATTATAAAACTCTCCCACGTCCAAATCCTCAAGTAAAATTCCAGGAAGATGTATGTGCCATGTGTATTCAGCAGTACCATCCTATGCCCTCTTCTCCCACACTCTGTTGAGAATTATGATGACAATGATGATGCATATGCACAACAAATGCATACGGCAGTAGCAGAAGGAAACAGAAGGAATCAAGGAAGTTTTACAGAAGGAAATCAAGGAGGACTTAGCATCTCCTCATTCTCTGCCTCCAGCCTGCCAGTCTCTGGCAGAAGCTCTCTACCAGCCCAACCCCCTCCCCAAGTTCCAATGGGCTCAGGAGGTAAGTTCTGATTAACCCCATCTAAATTCTCACCAACCCCATCTCCCTATGGGAAAGGGCTTTATGGCCAGCCACCTATGCTACTTAGGCCAGTTATCCCCTTTCTGCTCAGAATCCCTCTGGACAAAGGGTGTCCCTTGACTCCCTTGTGGGCCAAATGGGACCCACATGAGAAAAGCATTGGATGGGTGAAGTGACTTGCAGTCATAAAGCAGAACAAGGGGGGCTTCCCTAGTAGCACAGAAGTTACGACTCAGCCCTGTCACCACTATGGCCTGAGTTCAATCAGGCCATGTACAGCAGACCTCTCCTGTCCTGCCTGCTGCTCCCTTCAGCAGTGTATTTCAGTTGATCTGCCTGTTCTGCTTTCCACTTTGTCTCTGGTGAATCCTCTCACAACCCCCCTTTAACCCTGGCCTGTACCCCAGTTCTGTATGCAAAAACAAAAACTAATAATAATAATTTAAAAATACATTTATCCATCAAACAGTGGTTTGACCTCTGGGGAAACACCAAGCTTGATACTTTTACCTGCATCCAAAAGAACAGATATAGTGGTGAGCTTCAGGTAGGTATAAAGCCCTACTGGCAGCATTTGGGGGCCACTGGGACCAGAATGAACTTGGTCAGAGGGTACATCTAGTTCTTAGTCATTCTTGTGGGAGAGGGGAACCAGCCTCAGGAGAGATGGGAGAACTATACTATCCTTCCATTCTTTCCTGCAGTGAGTAGGGCTAGAAGGTTTGTGGAGAGGACTTAGTACCTAAATTCCTGGGCTACTTAACTGGTGTATGATACCCCAGATTAGCAAGCTGGGGTAAAGTGGGATCAGCACCTGCTCTCTCTATCCCAATTGTGAGGATCCTATTATTCAAGAGCAGTTGTGATTACAGCAGTTTCCAACTATGCAGGTTCCAAAGAGCTTCCATATCCATTATATCAATATAGTCCTCTCTGCCACTTCCTGAGGTTAGTGTGACAGAATTTAGCTACCCTGCTAGTACGGTGGAACAGGATTCCACCACTGACACAAAGGTTGACAAAAATGTCATGGAACTCACTGCCATCTTCTATCTTAAAGAGTTACATCTTCCAGGGAACACACTGGATATAAAACCGCATACATTCAAAAAGGCTCCTGAAGAATTATTCCTTGGTGGGTGGATGAGAGGGTGGGTGGGATTTTGGCACATGAATAACAGCAGGGAAGATATTTTTGAGCAGGTGAGGCTTTTAATGTGCGGATATCAGAAAGCGGGTTTATTGTGCTAGAGTGAATTTATTGTGGCTAGCTGAAAAAGGGAACAAAGCCCCATCCTCTTGCTCAGCCTACACCCTACAGAAGTCTGAGAAACCAACTCAGGAGAGCTGACCATGTGTAAGACTCTGATGAAATCACAGAAGGACCCTCTGATACATCCTCACCCCAGGGGCTGAGCAGGAAGCATCTGTCTTTGGAGATAACTGGTCTGGGCACCAGCCTCAGACCCAGGGTTTTGTTTGTATTCCCTTTGGAAGTCTGAGCACTAGGGCTTCTAGTATCAGTGTACCCACACAGCGGGAGTCCCTTGAATCCCACTGTACCCTCAGCCATCCAGTCTCCTCAAAGCTCTCCACCAAACCACCCCCTTCCCATGTTCCAATTGCCCCTATCAAACTGACACTCTGTGATGGTGGTGAGAGCAATCAGTTTAAATTTATAAAAGGATTTGCACTAAGGTATAAGTGACCCACGACTTCACCCTCCCAGGGGCATTTACTTTTTAAAAAGGAACTCTTAACCTAAATTCTGCTCTATAATTAGAAAAGTGAAGTATGGGAGTTCTGGGTCCAGGACAGGATGGCATCCAGGTCTTCTTACCTATCCTGGTGCACTGAGAGAACCAAATGAACAGGATCCATTGCAACACCTCAAAATTGTTTTAAGAGGTAGACAAGGCCTAAGATTAAGTCATGGCAGTTGCCCTTGGGGGTAGACCCCCCAACTCTTCTGGCCTGTCTAGGTTCCCCAGTCCATGATTTTGCCTTCCACAGACACCTCTCTCTACTAGAGGAAAGGTGTCCTGGGAAAGAGGCAGGCTGCTCAGTAGTCCCAGCTACCTCAGGAGAGCCCAGTTCTCAGCTCTGGGCAGGCTATGTGGGGTCCCAGGAGGAGAAGGGGAAGAATGTAGGTGGCAGCAGTGACCGGTAGACTCTCCCCCGGCCTCCTGTGGCTCTGCATTATTATCCCCCCAGGCCCGAGGGTAAGAGGCAGGCCAGCTGGGAGTTCCGAGGACCACGGCGGCCCCCTTCTCTGCTTCCGGCCCGGGGAAGCCCTGAAGGCAGTCTGGGCGGGCGCGCGGTGCCGCTCCCGGACCCGCAGCGAGGCAAAGTCCGCGCCGGGCCCTTCCACGCGGACGCAGGCAGCCTCTGTCAACAGCCCCTGGCTTATCTGCCGCCGCGGTGGCTGTTTGCCTTCGGGGAGGCCCCGGCGGGCGGGGGGTGGGGAGACCTGGGAGACGCTGTCTGGGTGCTGGAAGGGCCCTCAGCTGCCATCTGCTCCAGCTCTTCGCTGCGTCGGGTGAGGCGTGGGTCAGGGTGGGAGAGGCCGGCCGAAGCCCAGGGGCACCGCTGCGACCGGTCCCCAGAGTCCTGACCCCTGCGGGGACTGCCCACTGCACGCTGACTGCCCACCGCGCCTCCCGACCTCCTCCGCCTGCGGCTGCCCTCGGGGCGCCCTTCCTCCCGCGCCCGCCTCTCAGCTGTCAGAGATTTGAGCTGCGGAGAGCCGTGGACCCAGAGCGACTGCTCCGGATTTTCGAAGGAGGTGGGGAGGGAGGAGTCCTCTCCTTGCTCCACATTCCAAGGCGTTTGGAACCTCCTCGGCGTCACCCACCTCCCGGCATGGGTCGTCGGGGTTCTCTCACCCCTGGGGGAGGAGAGGGACTGCCCGCACCCCACACCTGGCGGCGGGTGTGTTCCAGCTCTGGGAGACTTTCTTTTTCCTCTTACACTCCCCCCCCCGGGCAATGTAAGTCTCCGGGTTGACTTAGTCACGACTCCAGTGCAAGGCGTCGGTGTCTCGCGCTGGTCCAGCCCGCGTGCACGCCAGCCGGGTTCCGGGCGGCGGCGCCCCAGGCCTCTCCCACCCGCGCGTGTCGCGGCTCTCGCCGCCCTGTGGGCTCTCGCCGAGCCTCCCCCTCCACTTGCATCAAGTGGAGCTGGAGCTACTCCTCTGCGGTGACCGCGGACAGTCATTTCAAGCATTTGGCCTTGATTATGACAAGGATAAGACGGCTGTCCCGGGCCCCGCGCGCCCCTAAGGGGCAGGTACCGGGAGACTTCGCCACCCCCGGACCTGGGTCGTCGGAGAGTCAAGCTTGGTCTCGGACCCCCAGGCTACTAGAGGATGACACTGGCTGGCGATCCCGCCCTTTCAGCCTCAGTTTACCGCCCCCGCCCGGGCCACGACTGGGAGCACCAAGCCGGGGGAGGCCGCCCTCACTCGGCTGCGGGGGCCGCCAGCCCGCGCCCCTCCCTTCCCCGCGTCCACGCCTCGTGCGGGCGCCGGAGCAGACGGCGGCGGCTCGGGGAGCAGAGCCTGGAGCTCCGCTCCACTCCCACTCAGGAGAGGGAAACCGTGGCAACGGCGGGGGTGGGGCCGCGGCGCCAGGGCGGGGGTGGGGAGGGAGGAAGACTCGTTCACCCCTCGCTGCCGGAGTTCGCGGGGCAAGCCCCTCCGATCGCCCCAGCCCCAGCTCGCAGCCAGCTCCCCTCGCCACCCGGGCCCTACCCGGCCCCCTCGGTGGGAGCCGACACCTCACTCTTCCTCCCAGGAGCGCCCCAGGGCCCGCGCCGCCCCCCGCTGTGGAACTGAGGTGAAAACTGCCAGAGCGCCGGGTCGGCCTCGGTCTTCACCCTGACCGCGACTCCCCTCCCAAATGTGGGACCCCGACCCCCGGCAGAGGGAGCCTAGGGCAGGAGTCCGCCCCAGCTCCAAGCCGGGGCTCAGCGCACCCCCGCGCCTGGCGCTGGCCCCGCCCCCGCGGCCGGTACCTGAACCACGTCCTCGCTGGCTTCTAGCTGCACGTTGCCGCGGCTCCGGCTCTCGCTGTCGCTCAACAGATCGTCCTCCGAGTCCTCGGGCAGCGACGAGGAGCCCGTGGAGGAGAGCGACGAGGTGGAGAGGCGGCGAGGCTGCTGCAGGTGCGAGGAGCCCGCGGCCGGCAGCCAGCCGCTCTCTGGCTCGGGCGGCCCGGGGCTGGCCGGGGGGACATCCGGCTCCTCGGCTGTCACAGTCAGTTGCGGGATCACCGGGGCTGGAGGAGCCCGAGGAAGCCCGTTGGGCACCTGCCCCCCGCGCCGCTTGGCCCCGCGGGCTCGGGGCTCCCCTGCAGCGGCGGCTGCAGCGACCGCAGCGCAGCGAGCCTCGAAGAGCAGGCGCAGCTCCCCGACACTCCGGCGCGGGGCCCGCTCCAGCCCCGGGCTGCAGGGCCCCGCGCCTCCTGGCCGCGCCATGCCCGTCGGGCCCCCGGGCAGGGTCATTTCCCGACACAAATGCCGCAGCGGAGCCCACCAGCCCGCGGCTCGGCGGGGAATGGAGACGCGCGGCGCCCCCGGCTCGGAACTGCCCCGAGGCGGGGCCTGCGCGGCCAACTCCCGCTCGGGCCCCGCCTCGGCCGCGCCCCCCGCCCACTCCTTTCACTTTCAGGGAAAGCGCGGGCCGGCGGGGACCCGCGCGGGCGGGGAAGGCTCCCTGCTGTTCCTGCCGGAGGCCAGGAAACCCAGACCTCGTGCACACAAAACCAGAGTCCTGCCCCAGCGGCCGCCCTCTCACTGCTGAGGAGACCTGAGGGGCCGCTCCGCCCCCGGGCTTTCCAGCTTTCCCTGGCTTCTGGGCGGGGAAGAATTCCTTCTGGCGGCTCCCTGGGCTCTGATGCAGCCGGGGAGGAGCTGGTACTGCTCTGGCTCTCCCACCAGTTCCTTCGAGCTCCTTTCCGAGTTCGACCCGTCCTGGACCGAGGTTCCCAAGTCTCCCGGGTCGGAGCTTTTCTCCACTCTCAGCCTCGGCGGCAGAGTTCAAGGCCCGGCCATCAGCCTCCTAAAGGAGCTTCGACCACAGCGAGCGCCAAGTGGGGACTCTCCTGGGACAAAGTAAGGTTGCTCCCGCCCAAACTCCCCACTTCCCTGAGGGCGGAGAACAAGGTCAGGAGGCAGGACCTGGATCCCTTCAGGTGTTCGGTGCAGCCCTGGCCACATCTCTGGCTACCGGCCATACCGGTGCCTTCTTCCTCCTTTCCTTTTGGAGTTCTGGACTTGGTGGCTGTAAGGAAGTCATTTCACCTCCTTCAACTGCTGATTTTCCTCCACAAGGTTGTTGCCACTTCATAGGATTGCTGTGAGAATAAAGTGGAAGGCGTGAAATCTCTAAAAGGTTAGCATAGTTTTAGTGCAGGAGGGAGGAAGGAGGAACCCTCAATTTCACCACATTCTGGATGTGATTTAGGCAGTCCCTTCAGCCCTCAGAGTCCTGTTTCCTCACATGTAAATTTAGAAAAACCTCACTGGAGCCTCTGGAAGAGACCACTGACGCTGGTGAGGTGTTTCCTGTACTATAATCATGGGGACAGTGCTTAGAATGGATATTTGCTCACCTCACAGGTCAGCTGAGCTGCAAGTATGCAGTGAGTAGAAGTCAGTATTTCTCAGGTATTCTTACTTCCCCCTAATGCCACCAGTGAGGACCCCCTCACCAGGCACCTACTGCTGAAGGATTGCTGGGGGCCCTGTGGAGAGAGCACCCCTAGATAGATTGCTTCCAACTCTGATTAAAGCAATCAATGCAGACATTTCCCTCCGCTTCCTTTCAGTCAGAATTCAAAGATGACCCAGAAGGAGAGAAAAAGGATTTTAAGAGGGAAGGGGGAATCTTCACAAAGAAGAAAAGTGAATATCCTGTGGGAATGGATGTAAGTAAAGGAGTGGAAGGTACAGAGGATGGGAATGACAGAGTAAGAGAAAGAAATACAGGGGGCTGCACACTTGAGTCCTGTGTGGAGAACCGAACCGTGGGTGAGTGCCGGCTCCCTTCTCAAGGCAGAGGTCTGCAGGGGCCTCCGTGTTGTGGAAGGGCCTACTCTGGAGCTAAAAAACCCAGAAACACTCTTGCCTCTTGCACTTCTCTCCCTCCTTTTGAGCTACCAGGGTACAGGCTGGCATCTGGGAAGGTGCTGCCCACAGAAAGAGGCAGGGGCTGGTGGCAAACTCAAAGCAGAGAGTGAGCCGGAACTGGAAAAGAAGGAAGGGAATGTGGGAGGGCCCAGGTACTTCCCACCTGTGTGCCAGGCAGTGTATGGGCAATGCTGGAGGCACAAGCAGGAACTAGGTCTCTGTTCT